GAATGTTATACCAAGAACGTATTCGTGAATTGAAATCGATGGTTTCATCAACCGAGCAAAAATTTCGGTAAATCCTGCAGCTTACGATGACACTTAATTTTCTTCATCCACCGATTAACCATTCTCTATTTCAATGCATAAAGGGCCATTGTCACCGAGATTGATGATATACGTTCCGGGAAGTTGGATACACTGCTTGTTGGTATGCTGAATGAGGAACAAAAGAAGGAAGCGTCCGATCAGCGAGAGATGCCTTTGGAGAAAGAGGGACCTGGTGAAGAAACGTCCAAGAAAACCGCATCTTCCGAGGTTTCCTCATTGTCGACACAACTCAATGAACAACAGTCATTGGACGAAAAAATGGATGTCAACGAACCGGGGAAAAACGATGAAAACGTGATTATCGAGGGTAACGACTCAAAACCTTCTCTTCGGACTCAAGAAGGAAAGATCGCAGAAGGTCGGGAAGGTTCTAAGGATCACGCTGATATCGAGAAAGCTCAAGTACCGGAAAAATCGGGACACATAGAATCTTCGGACAGCGTTCTAGGCACAATCAATATGGAGATAGATCGACCACAGACCCCAGGACACGATACCGTTGAAGATGCGGCGTTTGTTCAATCACCGCCGACACCGCTTGATGTAGAAAATAATGAATCAAAGGAAGTCGACGAGGATCTCATTTCGTCAAAAAGTCCTGAAGTTGTGATCGAAGAGAACACCCCCACAAACGCACACCATTCAGCTGATGAGAACATGGACACGATAATGGAGATCGAGGAAGGTTCCTTTGAGGGACAGGGATCGGATCTGGGCCTGGAATCGGGCAAAAATGATCAGGTCAAGGAGAATAATACGGATTCTCGAACCATCACCCCAGCACCGAGTCCACCAAGCCCGCCACAACACTACACCGGAAAACTGATGTTTTCGCCGAAAGAAATCACATCCCAGGAGAACGAGGAAACCTTGGCTCCTCCCGAATCGGACAAAGATGAAACGGAATCCGTAGAAAGTTCCATTGGAAACGAAAATGTCGTTACCGAAATGCCTGATAACATTCCTGTTTCGGAAGCCGAAGCGACGGAAATCACGCCAAATCAACGTGCGGACACGATAAGTTCATTAGATAATGAGGAGGAAGTGGAAGAGCTAGGATCCCCGATGGAAGAAGAATTGGCAACGGGTTATGCACTGCCTGCCATAAATTCGGAAAACAAAGAGGAAGACATTGATGACTCGCGAATGGTGGAGGCATTATCACATCATGAGGAGGATGGAGAAGACATAAAAGACCCGGTGAAAGAAGAGTCACCGGTCATCAAATCAGAATTCAAGGAGCCATTAAGCCTCGTTGATGTGACGGCAAATACGACGGGACCACCATCGACTCCTGATGGTAAGTCACCAGCCAATTGGTTAAGGTCAATTCAAGTCACGTGAAAACCCAACTGAATTTTGCACTTCCATCACAATCAGCCGCCGGCAGTGAGATCGAAACGTTCGGTATGCATCCTTTTTACACGGCACGCATTATGTCAGATTCAGTAGATGAGTTGCATGATCAATATAATATACTTATTCAAAAAAAAAATTACAGAAAGCATCTCACTTGACGACAAGAGACAGAAGACGTGGATGAAGCTAGTCGGGATGATCATGCAGGAAATTTCAAACCATCGCTACGCCAGTGTTTTCCAAAATCCAATCAGAGAACAAGATGCACCTGGTTATTATGATATCGTTAAACAATCGATGGATCTGAAGACACTGAAGAAACGTCTTCGTGACGGTGTATGTTGAGAGGTTGACATTCAGTCATTCTGTTGAATTAAGCATAGCGTTCACATCATTTCTCATCACCATCACCCGATCATTTTAGGTTGTACACGACACGGACCAATTTCACCGTGATCTCATGCTGATGTTTATGAATGCGTCGGTGTTCAACGGGAAGGAAACGGACATCCACCAGATGGCAACCGAGATGAAAGACTTTGTTGAAAACTTGATCGCGGATTTCAGAAGGAGCGAGAGCTCAGGAATTTCCGGAGGGGTTCACGAACCCGCGACGAGAAGAAAGAGCATGGCCCTAGAGGGTACGAAACAAGGCCTGTTTAAGTAGAAATTCCAAATGGCCCACTCTCACACAATCTCGTGATGGAACCTTTCTTTTTCTCTCCAGCGAAAGAAACAATTTTTGCGCCTAAAGATGAACGGCGAAATGATAGTGATAGACTCGGTGCGGGTTCAAACGTTGTTGTTCCACAGTCATCCGTCGATGTATCCGAACAACGGTCGACCTCCAAAAGGCGAAAACGAAGTTCGATATCGATCAAATGAGCTCCGGGTATATTTTTTTTGATTTCGCGACTCGTCATCTCAATTTATTGATTGCCATCGTCTTCATCCATCATATGAATGCCTGTGGTCAATTATCTATTTTTTTTTTTTTTTTTTTATATCTCTGCAAGCTATTGTGTGTATATGATGATTGTATTTTAAATGCGATTTTGTTCAACGCTATTTATCACTTGTCACTCGAATCATCATCTATATTTAAGCATACCTACATTCTTTTTTTTTTTTTTTTTTTTTTTTTTTTTTGAATTAAATCTCATAATTAAACAGTAAACATGCACCTGATAATCACAGTGACTAGAGATGAAAGTGTGACACACCTCAGATCACCTGTGCCATAAAAAAAAATAAAAAAAAAAATGCCTAAAGGTACAGACGAAATGTTATCAAAAAAAAAAAAAAATGACTCATAACTTTGTCATACCCATTGCAAACCCCACGACATAAGTCGGTGTCATAATTAACCAAATTTGTGCCTGTGTAATTCGGTACACTAAAAATTTATATTTATTTTCAAGTGGCAAAAAACTCTGTCGATTAGCATGCGTACAATGATTAAAGAAAATGACCACAATTATGACCAAATCGATAACAATAAAGAGAGCATCGACCACACATTATTACGTATTCAGAAAAAAAAGAATAATTAAAGCATTAGAATGAAACCTTGTAACGTTTCTTTCAACGACCGTGTAATATTATAATTAAAATTGACCACATGCCATCGCATTTGGTCGGTAGCGGTGTCAAAAAGTTTCACATTTTTGGTGCGAGGAAGAATTTTTTTTTTCCATTCATGTCAAAACCACAAGAACAAATAATGCTGTCCAACAAATCGATCCTTCGAATGATGATTCATTCAGTCGACCCACATCCGATATAACTGGTAGGCCAGACGACTGAATCCATGTGATCGCTCAAATCGCAGGTGATCGTTATTATAATATGCGTGTACGTGCGTATGTATTGTGGTGAGCGGTTGCCCGAACAACAAGGATACCCGGTATTTTATGCACACACCTGTGGATGCGTTACCTTGGCCAACTCAGGTATATCACACAGAGTTCAGCAGGTATCACTTCTATAATTTCCCACAGTCATCATCTCCTCTTCCATTTATAACCTCCATTTATACGTTGCAGATCCTCGATACGAGGAATGATGAGAATAGAGCAAACGTGCAAACGAATCGTGAAACAATAGTATGTTCGACTGGATAGTGACCCAATTATGATTATAGTAACACATGACCAGTCGGTCCTTAAAAAATTTTCCCAAAAGAAAAAATTCCCAGATAACAAAAAAAAAAAAATATCATCATGCATTGGGATCATTGGGATGCGTAAATCATTATTATTCTTTTACAGATAACATAAACAATATAAATAAAACCTTGTAACTGTTAATGTCAGGCGATTGATTACTATTTCTGTTTTAATCATAAAAAAATTTGTCCACATTGTTTTACAATCGAACCTAGAAAATTTAGGGCTATATTGTATATTTAATTTTTACATTGAATTATGGAATCGTGAATTAATTACATTTTTTTCAATCCAAAGCCCGTGGAAGAAAAAGAGGGTGAAAAAAAAAAAAAGTGTCAAAATAAACACCAGTTGTTGAATATAAAAAGGATTAGCAAGCAAATATATAAAAAAAAAAAAAAAGAAAATGTAAAAAAAAAAAAGGGGAGGAATCTAAAAATCATATCATCAATCACAAAGTAATAAAATGGAAGATATCTTTATATACAATAAAGCAGCACACTATTCTACTTCTAAAATGCCTGTCCAAATTCCTCTCAGACTTGAGCATGAGTGTGTTGAAAAAAAAAAGGAACAAAAAAAAAAAGTTTATATAACGAAAGTTTAAAAAGCAATTGTTGTAATATGAAACAAACCAAAACGCGAGGTAGGATAATATCAATTCAACAAGGAAATGAAAAAAATTGTTCGGATAAAATATTATAATATCAATCGCTTTTGGTGCATAAATAATATAGAAGTAAGGGTAAATATACAAGGGAAGGGGATTTATTTAGTGTTGTTTTATACAAGCAAGATCAACAAGAATCTGTGCTGCCTATTTTTCGTGCAAAAGATAATGAGAAGACGACACGTTAATTTTTATACCAGAGATAATAGTCCAGGACACATATTTGCGACAAAAATAAAAGCTCACCTCCATCATTTGAACCTGCTGGTGCTTTGTCAAGTTGAACTTGAGACACAGTTCCCAGCTTTCATGGTGTTCCCACAAATGCTGTAGGGAAGGAATGCGGTGATGATGGTGACAGTCATTGAGGAATGGTGAGTACGGTCACAACAAGATAAAACTTGGAAAGGGTAATGTTCTAAGAGAGCATACCTTAACCAAACAGTTTCTATGTTTGTACCTCTTATCACAAACGTGGCAAGTGTAGGTCGTTTTAGAAACCGAAGGAGTGGAACCGTGTTCTTTCTGGTCATCAAAGTTGGGAACAACTTGAATATTTTCTTCATTCCTCATCGTAAGGTGAGGTTGCTCGGCAACTTGTTGAGGTGATTCTATAATAATAAGGTGAAAAGGGTTGACGCGTTAGTTCATCTAATCGGTGAATAACCATCGTATGTAATCGAAAACACGAACATACCTAGAGACATTTGTGAGAATTTTTCGTCCGTAAGGGCAGGTTCACCAGCAGAGTAATACTGAACAGCTTCACTGGGTTCCTCTTGAGCGGTGAAGGAGTTCATGATGGTTGCGGTTGCGATTACTGTTCAAACTTGTCGCTTTTTATGGGTTTGAGTCGGTTGACTGCTTGGTTCGTTGGTTGGTTGGTTGGTTGGAGGATACTTATTTACTGTGAAGGAGAGGATAAATTTTTCGGACTTTATGGTAAGTCACCAAGGAAAATTTTATATATTTTGTGCGAAACGGTTTCACCAAGCGCAGCGAGGAGATAACCCGTGCCAGTCACAAAACTAGATATTAAAAATACTGGTGGAGGTAGTGCGGAAAAACAGCGTGGAATATTAAAAAGGAAGAGTATGTTAAATTTTTTGACAAAGTAGAATGGTGTATTAACTAAATTCTTTAAAAAAAAAAAAAAAAAGGAAAAAAAAAAAACACGTCTTTGGTCTTGGAATTATTTTTTTTTGGATGAAACAAGCCTTTTATAAAGTTTATGACTACAAAAATTTTGTTCATCCTACTTTTTTATCGGCCAATAGGGAATATAATAATGTCACGCGTAATACAGTAGAAGAACTGGAACAACCAGTAATTGGATAAATCAAATCTTAGGTGATAAGTGAAAAAAATGTCATGATTGATGGTTTTCCGCCGATCCAACCAAAAGTTTTTCAAATATTTGTTTGTTCAAATGCACGGGCTTAATAATCTGTAAAAATTTTCACACTTACGTACCACATAAAAAAAGTATGTGTCGGCAAGTATCTATGTACACAGGCCCTACATACTGTATTTTTGAATCTGAAATACTTTTTAAATGCGACACAAATAAAGAACACCGAAAAGACTCATCTCGGAATCATTTTAAACGTATCTGATTATACTTTTTGGTGATTTCGATAAAAAAAAAAAAATTACTGATCGTGTCCTGGCATTTGACGATTGAAAATTTCATTATTTTCTTGCAAATGCAAAATGATTCTTTTTGCGTTTTGAAGGTGACAAAAAAAGGGAAGAACGTATCATCACCTGGACACACTATGTACTAAATATATCACATGATACCTATCTGTAATATGTAGATGGTCATCTGATTGAATTATTTATACTACGTTACTGTAATTATCTAATTTAATTATTTATACGTATGTACTTATTTATAATAATAAGTTATTATCCCGCCAATTGCTTCTTGAGTTCCATCACATCGTGAATTTCCTTTTTAAAATATAAGTTAGATACAGGGACTTCACGCGATCTTAATGAAATTTCATCTACCTTGTTGGTGCTTAACAAAGATCTGCGTGCATGTCTTTGACTCTTCATAAAGTTTTCCAAGGCCTCATTTAATTCGGTTTCGTCAACAATGTCTAAATAAAAAGAACATTGAAGTTAATGGAGAAAACACGCAGATCAATTTGATTATGTTTATGGTACAAAGTTGCTTTATTTCATTGTCAAATTCTCGGCGAGCCCTCTGTGTTCGCGCATAAAATTTCGTGAGATCATCCAGAGTTTTGGTGGCAGATGACTTTATATAAAAATAAATTTTATTGCTTAAGATTATTATCATAATTATCATTTATCTGATGTGCATGTGTACATGATAATTTTTACTTGATATTTCTCAAATCCAAGCTTCAGTTTTTTGATAAATTCATCCTCTCGTTCGATTTTTTCGTCTGCCTTTCTCTTCAAATTGATGATGATATTTTCCCTAGGTTAATTTAGAACATAGACATTAATTAGATGGTTCGATATAGGTAACAATTGTCTGACAATAGGAAATTTACATTTCGATTTCCCAGCTGCTAACAATCCCAGAATCTCCATAAATCATATCCCTCGTCTCCTGAATTCGTGCTTCTTGTTCTTGTTCAAATTTGTTGAAACGCGAATTAGACTTGTTCTTTTTATCTACGAAAAATTTACTTGATTTATCCATGTGACTTGTCAGAATTGCACCATGAACTATGTGATGATTAATGAAAGTACTCTGAAGAAGACCAAGTAGTTCCGTCATATCTTGACTCCTTTCAAATAGAAAGTTTGGCATTCAATTTTTCAATTTCATGGATAGGCGATGTTGTGTCTACCAAAAGAAACTCATTCTTACGCGGCACTTCTCGCATCGACAGTGGCGGCATTGGAAACAGAATCGAAGTCATCTTGTTCTTCATCGCTAGGAACATATTCTGCTTCATTGAGCGCGTCCTGCTTTTTCCGTTTTCCGATCGACGAGACTACACCTTCGGTGTTAAACCTTCGTCCACGTGACTTAGAAGCGAGGGCGTTAGTTGTACTTGGCATACGAGACTTTTTGCTATCGACGGCGGTCGTCTTTTTGCCTACTCTCGCCACCGCGGTTCCAGTAGAAACACGAGCTCTGACCATGTTTTCTTGATCCAATTATTATTAATAAAGACGAAATTTTTTATTCGAAAAACTGAAATTGACAAAGGTAAAAATAACCTTGTCAAACTTTATTGATGTACTTGTAATCACAAGAGTCACGGTTTTATTAGTCATCGGAATTTGAATATTTACATACTATACTATAAATATACGCGATTGATACTGTATATGTTTTTATCTATAAATGAAAAAGTAAAAAATATAGTCACAATGAACATTGCATATTTTATAAACTTGAAAAATCCAAATCGAGAAATTTTTACTCAAACATTTCAGTCGCAACATGTCAAAAGAAAAATAATAAAAAATATATATAATCACCTGATTATAAATGTCTTTATTATTTAAAAAAAATTTATTTTTTAAATTAATTTATTTAATTTTTTCGATTATGAAAAATACTTGACTTATTTAATATCTAATATTTCTTAAATCATCACTATTTTAGAAATATGCATTGTTTCTATTGGGATTTTTCTTATTCAACAATATAGAAATTGTTTTTTGATCAAAATGTTGTTTCCTGAACATGAAAATTTCAACTTATTAATAAATTGATTTTATTACAATTGTATTTCTTAAGTTTAAAAAGCAATATCAATATATTGTATATAATTGAATTTGTTATACTTTCAAATTATATACATTATACAATATGCAAAATATTTATTTATTTATAATTGAATAAATTGAAATTGAAATTAAATAAAAATTTTAAAAAATAAGTTTACTTATAATTATTTTATTAAAATAAATAAAAATACATATAATATGTATTAGCTGAAAATAATTTATCTGATATAATTCTAAATAATTTTTTTCTATTTTTTTTTTAATTTTTTAAAAAATTTTAACAAGTTTAATGACTCTTATCAAGTTATTCTTTTTTTAAAAAAATTTTTTCTCTTTTTTTATTATTATCAAAAATAAAACTCTTTTCTAAAAAAAAATATTAATTGTTTTTTTTTTAGTTACAATCTAAAAAGTTTTAATTAAATAATTCTAATTGTGACAAGTAAAAAATTAATACTAAATATATTAAATGAAAAATTAATTTCTTTTTTTTAAAATAAAAAGTTATTTTTATTATATTAATTTAACAAATTATTATTTTTAAATTCTGTTATATATATGTCAACTTTAAAAATTTAATTAAATTGTATAAGAATAAAAATTCTTAATTGAATTTATTAAAACTTGAAAATCTTGATAATAAAAATTATAGAAAATTTTTTTTTGGATTTTATTTATTTATTTTTTTAATTACAATCTATGAAAATTATATTATCAATTATTATTATTATAATAACAATAATGATAATAATAAAATTCTTTCTATTTTTTTTTCAAATACTTGAAAATTTTCTTTTTAAAAAATTTTTGCATTGTTTTTTTTTTTTATTTATTTATTTTATTTTTTTATTTATTTTTTCTTAAATTTTTTGATTTTTAACCTCTTTTTTTTAAAAAAATATTGTCTTATATTTTATTATTTCTTTAATCAATATATTTTCTTTTTTCAAAACATGAATTTTGAAAAAAAAAATTTCTTTATAAACTTTAAAAAAAAAAATGGAAAATTTATTCTTTTTAAAAGATCAATATGATGCTTACTAATTAATTGTTAGATTAAATATATTTATTTATGAAATTATTATACAATTATTATTATTTGAAAATATTCAAGTTTTAAAAAATTTAATAAAATAATATATAAAAATAAAAAATTTTAATCACCCTTATAAATGAATTAATAATAAAAGTTTTTTACTTATCCTTTAATAATATAAATTTAGTATACAAAATTAGATAATAACACCTATAAAAAATATCAATTTTACTTTATATTCAAATATTTTTTCAACAAATTACTACTTATATTCAAATATTTTTTCTACTTCTTTTTTATATTATACTTGAGTTAAATCTTATTTAAATATTTAAATAATATAACTTTGCATATAAAATACTTTATAAAAAAGTTTTGTAAATTAATCTAAAACAGTTTTAATAATAATTAAAAAAATTAATTTTAGATATTTAAATAAAAAATTAATTTTTATTAGTGATATTTAGCTGAAAAAATAATTATTTAATTATTTAAACAAGTTATTCAATTAAAATATAAAGTAAAATAATACTTGCTTGCCTTATATTAAGTTATATTAAAAAAGTAAATATATTAATTCTAATTATAACTTGAAAACAATTTGTATATGATAGCTGCAATTAAATATGAAATTTATATTATATATTATAATTAAAATTTATATAACCAAAATTAAATTATATCCTTTTAAGAATTTAAATTATAAAATATAATTTTATAATCTAAATTAAAATTTTTATAACCTAAATTAAAAAATTTTATAATCAAGATTTATCAATTTATAGCTTAATAGTAAAGTTTTATAGGTTATCAAGTAAAGGTCTAGAGTTTAAATCTATTTAATTACAAAATATTATCATATATTCTTCTTAATTAAATTATATAAAAGTAGAACTTCTAATCTTTTCAGTAATCACAAAGTTGTAACAGATTACAAAAAAAGAAAAAATTATATAAAAAAAGATTACTGGTCTAATTTCAATTAAATTCTACAAATTATAAGACAATAAAAACAAAAATCATATTTGAATATATAAATTGGATTGTACTTTATCTTAATCAATTTTAATTATTATTTTTTTTAATTATTAATTACAAAAAATAAAAAGTTTTAAAGAAAATTACAGATTTATTATCACTTATGGAATAATATAACTAGTTATATAGTAAAGTAGAATATATAGAAGTTGTATTATATATATATCCCGCAAATCTCAAAATTCCTAAAAATTTCCTTTTTTAGTAATACACCCAAAACACCCAAAGAAACACTCAAAGAA